GTATATTTATAGGAATGCATAACATGTGAGATGTACATTTTGAAGTTTCATCCATAACTTATAACATTTACTGTAGCAGTAACAAGACAGCAGGTCATCACTTTACAACATTACACGAGTGATTTTGACTTACAAATAAAATATTTACAACCTACCTTTACAAAACGACATTGTGTGCATACAAAATGAACAACAGCAGAAAAATTTAAAAATAATAAAACAACCAAAAACCCAGAAGATACACTTAAGGCAGACCAGCAAGACACTGAAATAATTAAGGCTGTGGAATTCTTCTGCACCTTGAAAATATAGAGCTATTTATCAATACTGTGGAGTGATTTTAAACCAATTGTTACAAGCCTGATGGAAGTATGTACTTATATGTATATGTGTGATGGTCCCTATGGGGAAACCTGTCCACTTATGAATAAGGCCCTTTGTCTGAATGGCCAGTGAAGCCCACTCCAAATTTGCAAAAGACTTGGGGGGGCCGGGGTCACTCAAAACCAAGAGATGCCAATACGGTTTGCAAATTGACTATTAATAGTTCAAATATAAAGATAGTTATAAGTCCAGATAGAATAACCTACATGATGGCCCCTTTATGTTTCACACTTTGTTAGTTTGGCTTTGTGGATGTCAAAAGACAGTAAATTAATTCCAGAATGAGTAGAATTCATCTCCACAAATTAGCCCTAATGGTTTTGAATGGCCCTAAATGGTCTTCCAATAGAAAAATTGACCCACCTGGGCTGTCTGCAAATGGATAGATTTCTGCATATGAGCAATAACATATACATACATATTATACACTATATACATGTACAGATGTACATATATCCGTATTTTCCAACAGTTTGCACTTCGATCACTACTGTTCTCTGAACAGGATTTCATTCTGAAGAGTATGTTTAGTTTTTTTCACAGTCTTCATATTTGTTCTAACTAATAGTTTTACTCACCTTCCCCATAGAGTAGGCTGAAGTTTGGCAGAAACAGAAGTAAAAGCACCAGGGTCAGAAAAATCAAACAGAGTGATGACGGATATGGCTTAAGTTAGTAAGAGAAGATGTATGTTTTGTTAACTTCAGATTCGTAGCCACAGTCTTTGAGGTCATAGTAACAGTCTCTGTAATACTCCAGAACATGGATTCAGTTCTTGATGGAAGTCAGGTATTGATGGAAACTCCTATGCTGGCCATCCCTGGGCCAACAAATTAGCTTGGTTAAACTAAGCCTCAGGGGTTGGCATTCCAAGAATTGTTATTTGCATTTCTTCTACCATGCTCCCTTTTCTCAGCTAACCCCACTATCTGAAATAGCAGTTATCTAACTAATCCGTTATCTTGATCATTTGAATAAAAACTAAATCTGAACACATTTTAGAATCTCACAGCAAAGGGACACATTTCTCACAGAAAAATGCAATAGCCTGTGCATATTAATTTCAGGCTTACCATAATGTCCCTCAAAGATTAAAAGTTGTCTTTGAGTGATTGCTTTTCCTCTCCTCTAACTTCTTTATATTTATTGAAAATGAGGAAGAAATGCCTTTCATAGAAAATATGTTCTTACGATAATCTGTGTTCTACTACTGCTGCATAAATTTTTTATGTGAGTAAATTTCCTACTAAAAACATTTAGTGCTAGAAACAAATTTCAGCCCTTTTTAACCCTTTAGAATTAATGAAACAACTGAGAGCCTTACTATTTTTAGAAAATAAATATTAACATAGTAGCTTTCCTTTTCTTGATGGAGCATGTGTGAGCTCTATCGTCTCTAAGCCCACCCTGGGTTTAATCATTCATCCTCAAATCATCCCTAGGCTTTAAATAGTGAATAAAAATCAAGGTGCAGTTTCATAAATAAATTCACTGAAAGGTTACATATTGCGTTTGTCTAACCCAGACTCCGTAGAGGTGCGACCCAGGAGAGAAAGGAAGAAGGTCTACATTCCTCAAAACTCATCCAGCACAATTCGTTGACCACACTGAATAAGGACATGGTGAGTCTGAACTTTGCCCTACTATGAAGACCTCTTACGTACCAAATTATTTCCTCCTCTATTAAATGCATGGGACAAAGTTTTAGTTAATGCAAAATTTAGTTTATATCATATTTGCTCCCTCGTATTCTCACAAATCTAAATTGCCATGCTCTTCCACAGAGGCAAGAAAAAAGTAACGCCTGACTCGTGGGCTCTAATCATGGAGGTTATGGGATAGCAAATATGCAACTCCTGAAAGACCTAACCACCTAAAAAAAAAAAAAAAGATTCAAGGTTTGTTCTCCAAAAATGAACAGTCCAATTCATTTCTATGCATTTAATTTGCCTGTGCATTTAATTTGCCTCTTAGATTCCTGTGAGACTGTGAAAAATAAATTGTGATATGAGAAGATGTTTTCTTCTCACTTCTGCCCTCCCAACTGAAGAAAGTGGTTGTTGGGTTCTTCTCTGTCCATTTTTCCAGAGCGTAAAGCTTGAGAAGGAAGGTAGCAGTTGCTTTCGAGGCCTTTTTACTCTTCGCATCTGCCATAAGAAATACTGGAGAAAACGGCTTATGAACATAAGACTTCATCAGCTCTCTGAACCCTTTTCGGTAGACAAGCTCTTAAATGATCGAAATTATAGGCTAAGACCAAATAACATTTAGACGAAGAGCACCTGATACTTCTAACTGAAAGCAATTTACAGAATTTAATCTCATGAGTTTATAAATGGTATCTAAAGACGTGAATATTGAAAACCTGGAATGTTCAAAGTTACTATCAATAAAATTCTTAGCACTGGCAGTGTGTAGCACTTTAAAAAAAATCAAAGTGTTTTATAGATGTCCCAACCAAGGTTATTTCTCAACATTCCTGTAAGATTAATGTCCTCCCTCCTTCCCCATCCCCCAGCTCCCATTTTACCAATGGGGACATTTGGGGAAGAAAAAACAAAGACTTTCTGTAAGAAAAGATGAATCAGGAATAGCTGAGATTGAAACTCAAACATTCCTGGTCCCACCCCTATATTCAGATGTTTTCATTTACAAGATATTTTAAAGTAAAGAAAAAATGCTGCAATATCAGTAAATCTAAATGCAACGAACTTCTTTATCTCCCATCCTCCCCTCTGAAAGGCACTACTATTTATAAAGGCTTTGTGGACCACAAAGCAGGGAAGCTAGCTTTCTCCTCTGCTTCCTCTACTCCCCCTTACACTGTTTATGGCTGAGAGAGACCTGAAGGATATCTCCAACATTACCATTTTTTTCTTAAAAATTTTACCACATTCAGCTATAAGTGGATATATATCTATTTAATTTGAAACAAATGTAAAGATGTAGGAAATCATCATATTAATACTTCTTAAAAGTTATTATGGGTTGTCCCTGATCTTTTCATCCTTTATCCCACCCTTACAAAACAAAACAAAAAGCTCAAAACCCTATGCAATGAATATAAGCCAAGCAAGAAACTTGTGACCTTGACCATTGTTTGTTTTTCCTATTTCAGCTAAAAGTTCACTCCCACTGTGAACTACCATCATTATGATAGAAGTGGACTATTTTCTCCTCTCTCCTCTCTTCTTTACTACCAAGTAATAAATCTCTCCACCAAAACAGGAACAAGAGGTGCCCCTGATCCTTCTTCCCTAACCACAGTTGCCCTCAGAGCAACTTAAAGTACATTCCCCAGGCTCATCGTCTGGGATTCCTTGTTATTTCCAACTTGCTATGGAGAACTCTTGAACCAAGACTACCGTCTTATCTCTGTTGGGAGAGACCAGGAGCTTTGCAGACAGGGAGCCTCCCTGTTAGTTTCCCTCCATTATCAAACTATATAAAATATACCCCCTTTCTCTTGGGGCCTCTATTAAGTTCATTCTGGTCTAACGATTGTACCTTGGCTCCAGTTAACAAAATCATCCTACTTTTCCCAGGTCCCTCTTTTCCTGTCTTCTCACTTCCCAAATATGTGTACTTGGGGGAATTCCATGTAACCCCACATCTGGATCTGGATCCTCTCAACTCTGTTGTAAAAGCTGATATGAAAGCTTGAGGTCTAACATTCTGTCAACTGCCCCCATAACATAATTTCAACAATACCATCCTTGCCTCCCACCTGCCATGGTCTGTTCACCATTGTCCTGGGCCCTGGCCTTCTCAAGAAGAAACTCAACTAGTTACAAAAACTCAGAATGGCTCAACAGGGGGATCTTGATTCAGGTCATCCACAGTGGACAGAACAGAACTTGCCAAGCTGGAATTTATGGATATTGGGAATCCTCAGAGCCTACAGTTTGACAAACACTATGGGCCAGGCTTTCCTCTCTTTTTTTTTTTTTTTTTGGAGACGGAGTCTCTCTCTTTCACACAGAGTGGAGTGCAGTGGCATATTCTCGGCTCACTGCAACCGCCGCCTTCCGGTTTCAAGTGATTATCCTGCCTCAGCCTCCTAAGTCGCTGGGATTACAGGCGATTGCCACCACGCCCAGCTAACAGGCATGAGTCACCGTGCCCGGCTCAGGCTTTCCTCTTTTATGCTGTATACCATAATGAAGGCATGTTTACTGAAAGGGTTTTAGTAAACATGTTTACCAAAAGGATTATTAGTAAATATGTTTTAAATTTTTTAAACACAATGAAGACATGTTTACTAATTTTTTTTACTAAATATGTTTCAAACTTTAAAAAATTTTAGTAAACATGTTTAATGTATGTTTTAAATTTTTATGTATTGTATCATAGAGTATTTGCATATACATAAAGGTCCAAATGAAGACTATAGGGGTTAGTCAAGAGAGACCTCTGAGGGAGTGAGGCTTAACGACCCAGGGCCATTTGAAAACTGGAAACAAATACAGTCGGAGTCGGTTTCCACATATTTGGTTAATCCCGAAAATACTAAGTGCTATCTAGTCTTATTGCTTATAATTTCCATTAGTTTATCAATCTGTAATCTTGGATGGGATGAGGTGGAGGGTGAATGAGGAAGTTGTCTTTGAAACCAATGGAAAAAAAATGATGATGATTTTTAATTTTACATTTCCACTGTGGGAATAATGCTTTTTATATGTAAAGTTCAGGCTTAGTTTCCACCATTTCTTTTTCATTTAGATAGGTTTGTAGTTCTATTCGTCCTTCATATATTCTCTTCTTGCACTTCTGTACTGTGTGATTTTAATTTTCTCTATCCCATTATAGGAGAGAAGCAACGCCGTTAAACCTGATTTGAACAAACACTTGAGTTACATTTTTAAAATCTTACTTGCATAATAATATCTATTTTCAACACATATTCTAGAAAACTAAGGGTGGATCATGTACAAACACAAAAAACAAACTCCCTCCCTCCAAAACAAACGAACAACAATAAAGAAAGAAAACCCATGAAATGCCCAGGTTTAATTTTTTTTTCCACCAGAGTGAAAAAGAGCAGTTAATAATAATCTTTTATGGAGAATATACACCAGAAAGCAGGATTGGCCTCAAAGCACAATTAGTCCTTTTGGTTCAGAGAACTATCAGCGGCTGAGTGGTGACAGGTATTGCAATCTCAGTTACAACTTAATGCTCTGTTAGGGTGGTGTATCAGGTTTTGTTCCATGGCTTTAAAAAGGACTTAGGACCAGGCCTTTAAAAGGCCTATATGGCTGCCTCCTTTTAGTAAGCACCCCTTAGCTTCAATAAGGAGTTAGAAATAAAGTCAGCCAACTTTCTGAAAGATGGTATTCTACAGCCGTAGAAGAAATCAGAAAGTGTTGGTACGTTGTTCATAGGAACTGTAGGAAAGGTTTTCATTTGCCCTTTTGTATGAACCTCTTATATTTGTTTATTTATTTCAAACCTGGTGTAGACACAAAAATACCCCCGCAGCTCATAGTGTATTTGAACTTATTTCCTGGCGGGCTTTCTTGCCAGATTAACTCTGAGCTGCCAGTGAATTTGCGGGTAGCATTTCATATACAGAAAGAACCTATCTTAATCAAATAACCTGTGATTGACAGAAAAAATTATCTCATTCAAAAGGGCAATGTTGCTTTCTCTTAATGCACAGGTTCTGGTAAAAGATTTCTATACAAGATTTATAAAATGCTCTACAAAACTTGTCATCTAATTGTGCTTAGTCAAAACAATGTAATGCTTCGATAAATAAATTACTGTCTTAACTGGAGCACTCAAAGTTACTTGTGTTTGATTTAATATATATCTCTCTCTATATTAGAAAACTCTGAAACCTGAATGGGATATATTATACTGTATGTGTATATCTATCCTATTAAGAAACTATATCTAAGTTATCTAAACCAGAATAGTTGATATACATGACATCTCCATTAAATAGAACTTTTTGCTTAAAATTTCAGCAAAGCCAGAGAACTTTTACACTCTTGTGAGCTTACGGTTTGCCCAGTTAACCACTCATTTTGGAAGATACAGTTAAAATTTCATAACAGCCAATATTGTTCTCATCTTTGTCCTTCTTCTGAACACTTCTGTGACTCTTTGCCTCTTTATTTCTTCAGAATGACCTTCTGGAAAGCCCCTGGATTTAGGGTGACTTCTACTGCTGCTCAGACCCTGAATAACCACTGATGAGGTTTAAGAGGTACATCTCTCAATTCAGAGAACTGCACGGAGTGAAATGATGAACAGAATTATTTACAATCACATTCAGTCTTGCTTTGGTTCACACTGCACTTCTATGTGAAACCATAGGGGCTGGGATATGGCTACGTCCCTTGGTTCACCCGGTTGACAATGTAGCTCTTGACATTGGGAATAGGCCGCACATCATTCTGGTGTTTGCGGCGTTCTATGAAGCATGCTAGGCGGGAGGTGTCCAGGGGGATCTTAGAGTAGCTGCCATTATGAGGCTGCAGCCATGGATGCTGTAAGCATGTGGCTGCCGTGGGCCGCCTCCGAAAGTCCTCCTGTAAGATCACATTGATGAAATCTCTGGCAGCGTTGCTCACACCACAGAAGTATTCATGGGGGAAGCTGAAATCCACCCTGCATACATTGATACATGTCTCCTCTTTGCTCTCATCCAAGAAGGGGGAGACCCCACTCAGCATGACATATGTCAGAACCCCGATGCTCCAGATGTCTGTCCCCAGGGAGACGGGGATGCCTTGGATGACTTCTGGGGCAGCAAACTCAGGGTTCCCCAGCAGGTGGTGAATGTGGAAGTGACCCGAAATCTGGACAGCATCCTCCAAGTCGATGAGCTTCACTCGAGGCACTGGAATCCGTAGGTCAATGAGCAGGTTTTCAGGCTGCGGAGATCCAAGGAGGAAGGGAGAAAAGAAGGGAAGTTCAGGCCTCTATTTTGACTACTCAAAAGACCTCATTAATTCAAACACAATTATGCTATTCTTTGATAAAGCCTATGGTGTATGGAAAATTCCCTATGCACTATGGAAACTGCATAGGAGACTTCAAAGTATCATTTTGAGCTTACTACACTTTGAGTTTGGGTTGTAATTCAGAGAAGTAGTTTGACATTGAAAATCATGTCTTCTTAACTACATTGCTTCTGCATTGAGTCAAGGAAATAATAAATTACTCATTTTGGTGAACAGAGGCTTCTTTTTGAGCAGCATGGAAGAAAACGTGACATTTGTTGGCTTACTTCTATGAAGTTAGATTAGGTAGGTAGAACTTCCCTACTTTCTCTCATACCAGATGTCATTGTGGCTCTGGTATATTCTCATTAATTCATGGATGATATACTTAAATTGTATGACAACTCAGATTCTCTTTAATAGTCATAATGGGATGGGCGTGGTGGCTCACATCTGTAATCCCAGCACTTTGGGAGGCCAAGGCAGGCGGATCACTTGAGGTCAGGAGATCAAGACCAGCCTGGCCAACATGATGAAACCCCATCTCTACTAAAAATACAAAAATTAGCCGGGTGTGGTGGCGGGCACCTGTAATCCCAGCTACTCGGGAGGCTAAGGCAGAAGAATTGCTTGTACCCAGGAGGCAGAGGTTGCAGTGAGCCGAGATTGCACCACTGCACTCCAGCCTCAGCAACAGAGTTGTCTCAAAAAAAAAAAAAGTCATAATATTCTACTCTAAGTAAATAAAATGAATTTGAATTTATATTCCTTATGAGTAATGACTATAAGTTGGACTTGGCCATTTAAGGCATTCCCTGCAAAGTTGACACTTCTTATTACCTTTATGTCCAAATGTGCAACCCTGCAGTTGTGAAGGTACTGCAGAGCCTCCATGATGTCTCGAATATAGAAGGCTACTTTTTCCTCCATCAGTTCATCATGATTCATAAGGTAGTCTAAGAGGCGGCCATCATCCATCCTGAAAGTAGGCAGGGAAAGGCAAAGGAAATATGTTTGATATGAAGAAATAGAAAAATAACACATATAAAAATCAGTAAGAGCTCTAAGCTCTCTCATACTTCTTGTTATACATGAAGACTAAATGTGCAACACATGCATATTTAGTTAGAGCCTAAAGTTATTGTGATATTCAGAACTAAAATAAATATATTTACAAATATGGTGTACTGCAGGGAAGAAATATGAATGACTTTGTTTAGGAAACATTCTCCTTCATTAACTCTAAAAATTGCTCACAACAAAAAGTTGTGATGCCCATTTAAGAGGTTCGATTGCTAAGTAAAGAAAGCCTTCACCAAGAGAGGCTTCAGCAATATTCTGATTAACCGTAACCTAGGGGCTGCAAGCAACCCCACGTGTGTTTTGCAAAGTACTTCTTAATTTTATTTTATATTAATTTTAGAAATGAAGTCTCACTGTGTCACCCAGGCTGGAATGCTGTGGCATAATCATAGCTCACTGCAGCCTCGAACTCCTGGGCTCAAGTGATCCTCTTGCTTCAGCCTCTCACATAGCTGCGATTTCTGGAGGACGCCACTGCGTCTAGCCAAACTACTTTCATTTGTCAGTTTTTAGTTGGGGAAAACAGAAAGTAGGCAAAGTTTGTTCTTTGCATTATTGATTCTTTGCCCCACTCCCACCCTGCCACCTTTTTGTTGTTGTTGTTGTTTGTTTGTTTTGTTTTTGAGACAGTCTTTCGCCCAGGCTGGAGTGTAGTGGCATGATCGCGGCTCACTGCAACCTCTGCCTCCCAGGTTCAAGCGATTCTGGTGTCTCAGCTCCCCAAGTAGCTGGGATTACAGGTGTGTGCCATCTCACCCAGCTAATTTTTGTATTTTTAGTAGAGACAGAGTTTTGCCATGTTGGCCAGGCTGGTCAGTAACTCCTGGTCTCAAGTGATCCACCCGCCTGGGCCTCCCAAAGTGCTGGGATTACCGGCATGAGCCACCGTGCCCGGCTCTTGATCCCTTTTTGAATCTTTTGCCTTATGGGCAACTTTTCCAACCTTGAGAACTGTGATTGAGAACATGGTATATGGAGCCATCCAGACCCAGATTCGAATCCTGGTTCTGCTACCTACCTGCTGAAGGCTGGGAGCAAGTCATTTGAACTCTGTGTTTTGGTTTCACCAAAGTGAACCATCTTTAAAGTGGGAATAAGAACAGCAACAAAATAATAACAATTATTATTCATTATATTAATCTAATATAATGAATTAATATTATCTTATAATATAGTGGGTGAATATTACTATTCACCTATTTCATTATGAGGATTGTGCAAGGATGGAATGAGATGATGAAGCATTTAAGCATAATTGGTAGCGTAGGTAAGTGCTAAATAGATGGTAGCTATTCTCAGCCACCCTCTGTCCTCTTACACCCAGGAGTTATCAAATGCATTGAGTTGTTAAAGGCACATCCCCAGGAAATCCCCATGCAGAAGAGCCTGATCCAGGGTCAGAAATGACTTTCAGTTACAGCTGAAATCACCCTGGCCAAGTTTTCCTCTTCCCCTCTAGCTTGCTCCTTCTCACTGGTGTCTTCTACTTCCCCTAACAGGAGCAAAGGCTAGAACCCATGCAAGCCTCTTTTGCTTTCCTCTGACCCTGCTAGGGGTGAGGTAAGAGTGATCAGAGTAGATGGAGTAGGATTTGGCTTGTTAAATATATTCCCCTGAACTTCTTGGGGTCATTAAGGGAGCAATTAACAGCAGCACTGCTCCAAGTGAGAGAGTCTTAGCCACCAAGTTCACCTTTAGAGTTTTTGGGTAAGGCAGATGCCTGCATCCCACCCCAGAATAGGGAATCCAAATCTCAGTTGCCTGGTAAAGAAAAGCTCTCCCAGCAATTCTGGTGACCACCTAAGGGGAGGCCACTGTCACATAATTGGCAGCATAAGTATGTGCCACATAAGCATAACAGGATAATGAGATCCAGCACAGGGATTAGCTCAGGCACTGCCTCTCCACAAACTTCCCCTGAACTTCAAGTTCAACCAAGCACCTACGTTCTCACAGCAACCTTCTCCAGTGCATGCATGTCTCTTAGTATTTACCATGTTATATTAAAATCATCCATCTATCTATCTATTGGTCTTCCTCATTAGACATGTAACTCCTTGAGGGCAAAAGCTACATCTTTTCCCCCTGTTTTTGTTTTGTTTTTTGTGTTTTTTTTTGAGACGGAGTCTCACTCTGTGGCCCAGGTTGGAGTGCAGTGGCGTGATCTTGGCTCACTGCAACCTCCACCTCCTGGGTTCAAGCGATTCTCCTGCCTCAGCCTCTCGAGTAGCTGGGATTACAGGTGCACACCACCACGCCCAACTAATTTTTGTAGTTTTAGTAGAGATGGGGTTTCACCATGTTGGCGAGGCTGGTCTCGAACTTCTGACCTCAAGTGATCCGCCCACCTCGGCCTGTCAACGTGCTAGGATTACAGGCATGAGCCATCGTGCCCAGCCCTTTCCCCCCTATAAACTCTACCTCTGCCTCCTCTAAACTACCCTTATAACTATACCTTTGTTCCCCCAGCCCTGGCCCTGATCTGGATAGTGGTTGGTGCATAGTGAGTGCTCAGTAAATGTTTGCTAAACTAGTTCAACCCACTATTCATCTAACTTAATCCCTGCAACATCTCTGGGATGTTGGAGGAATTTCAGTCTTCACAGATGAGAACCTGGGGCCTTGGCAATCTAAGTATTCTGCTTCAAATCACAGAGCTGGGACGTGAGCCCAGATTCCTCATTCCAAGAGCAGCTTCTTTCCGTTGCACTGCAGTAGCCCACTATCAGCACCTTCCCTTAAAACAGTAGTTGGCAAGTCTGAAGGGGCAGAAGTTCTGGGTCAGCTGAATTCAACCCGGTACATAGTGACAATACCTTTCATTGGAACTCAAGCGCAGATGCTGTCATCTGTGGACAAGCATAGGTCACTAGCAATAGAATATGTCTTTTGAGTTAGGAGGTTCCCTACAGACAGGTCAGGCTCTGAAAAAGACTGTTAAGTCTAAAGTGACAAACTGCCAACTACTTAACCACATACAGTTTAAGTTTCACAAAAGGATTACAGATGCTAGCAGCACTGCTTTTGTCCCCTCTGTTTTTTTTCCAGCTGATTTTAAAAATAGCCAAACTTGCTTGCATTTTTGCTTTCTTATTTTATCATAAATAAATTTGTGGCAAGTTACTGACTCAAAGATCCCGTACACACACACCTAGACTAACAATCACGCAACAGCCGGACTAACACGGTAGTTGAAAAGCTGAAAATGCAGGCACTTCTTTACTGAAAACGGGTTCTTGTGGAGCCATACACAGCAATTGTCTTTGGCAGAAATGTCTGTCTCCTGTCTAGGCCAAGGGTCTCATTAGCACCAATCCGATCACATTTCTGTTACTTGTATCACTTCTGAAAAGACTCTATTCTCTTTCATCTCTGTGATCTTTATCTAAACCACAGAGCATACTGTTTCTTCTTAGTCTGGGGTAGTGGTGGGGAGAATGGGACATTATTGCTTTATTAAATCTATTCTAGGGGTATATGGTTGCCTAAGTCCCTAGAAAATCTGGAATGAGTGGAATGTTTTGAAGGTAAGGCTCTCCCCTAGAAGGAATTTCTTGGGTGGTAAACTGGATGCTATGGTGGTGAACTAACACACAGAGCCCTCTCTTTCAACTCCACCCTGTCAATCAGCCTACTGTCGACAAGCTCTTCCCAAACTCATGCCCAGCCCAAGAGTCCATAATAGAAAGAAAATAAACATGGAAGGGAGAGGGATATGGGTTCAAGTCCCAGTTTCTCTATTCCTAGTCTTAAGGAGCTAGTTCTAAGGACTTCCCTTATCCCTATTATGATGTTTTAATCTTTGAAATGGAAATGACATTGATTATAAAATGGGGGAGAGAGTGCATGTTATATGCAGCACTTTGCAAATGATAGGACCTTGTATAAAATGTAACTGTCTTTTCCATTAATTGTGGGCAAGAGCTAACCCAAATGGATGGGGGCAACTTTAGACAGACGGCATCTGTACTTACAGTTCCAAGATCAGGATGTAGGATGTGGGGGACTCATAGGTGTCATGGAGAGTGATGTACTGAGGGTGCTGTAGGTGCTGAAGCAGGGCAGCCTCGTGGGCAGCCTGTTCTTTCTTCTTCATTTTTTTACTAACAAATTTCACAGCCACATCTTTGCGGGTAGCTTTGTGGATGCATTTCTTTACTATAGAGAAACGGCCTCTGGAAAAGCAAAAGGGAAAGTTTACCAACATTCATCAATTAACTAGATATATTTTATTCATGGATAAGTAAAGTTTTGTGTGAAGTGGTCAGATAGATTTTATTAGGAATCCTACTCTCCTATATTTTTAATTATAATGTTATTCAGAAAATCCATTTTCCTTCTTTAGCATTTTAGGTTTTTTTGAGATGTCAAAAACTAATATATTATATAATATAATTATATTATACATTATATTTTAATATATAATATAAAGCTTTTTTTTTTTTTTTTTAGACAGGGTCTTGCTCTGTTACCCAGGCTAGAGAGCAGTGATGTGATCATGGCTCACTGCAGCCTCAACTTTCCAGGCTCAAGCCTCTTGCCTCGGCCTCCCAAAGCCCTGGGATTACAGGTGTGAGCCACTATGCCTGGCCTAACTAATGTAATTTTTTTAACCAATATTTTTCTCTGCCATTTTGACCATCAATGGCAGTTCAGTTTTCTTTTCTAGGCAGAATACATATTTCTGTGAAATACAACAATAGAAACAGCAATAATGTTAAAGAAGGAGGAATTCTACTCAATGATAATTTTTAAAACATTTTTATTGTTTTTTTCTCCTTCTCATACATACCAATTCTACTTCCTTCAAGGTCTAGCACAAATGCTACCTCTTTATGGGGCCATGACATGATGAAAAAGCCAGACTGTAGAGCCACTGCAAATTGGATTTTTTTTTTTTAATTTCAATAGGTTTTTGGGGAACAGGTGGTGTTTGGTTACATGAATATGTTCTTTAATGGTGATTTCTGAGATTTTGGTGCACCCATCACCCAAGCAGTGTACACTGTACCCAGTGTGTAGTCTTTTATTTCTTACCACCGTCTCACCCTTTCCCCCGAGTCCCCAAAGTCCATTGTATCATTCTTACGCCTTTGTGTCCTCATAGCTTAGCTCTCATTAAAAACATTTTTAAAGAGTCCATTGTTTCATTTTATTTTATGTTTGTTATCTTTTTATTATGAAAACTTTCTAATATACACAAAAGTGAAGAAAATAGCAAAATAGATCTCCTATGCAGCCAACTTCAATAATCATGAACATTTTAATCAATTTTGTTTCATCTATCTCTTTTCTATCCGCTGCTTTTTTTTTTCCCCTGGAGTATTTTAAGCAACAGATATAATGTCATTTCACTCATAAATACTTCAGTTTACATGCCTATTGACAAGAACACTTAGAAATATATAACCACTCTGCCATTATTACATCTGACAAAATTACCAACTCCTGAAATAGAATGGTTCCCAGATACAGCTGTTGCCCTGTGGAAGGTGTCAAGAGAGCTCTGTAGGGGCACAGGTCAGCAATGGGGCAGATGAAGGGAGGGTCAGCAAGGTGATAAGGCAGCACCATCCAAGCCCTGCCCATAAGGTGTCCTAACCCACGAGCAGAGGAGTGAACAGTCTGAAGACCAGCCCATTCCTCCAACAGAAATGGGTGTGTCGTGGCCACCATGAAGATCATCTAACTGCCTCCTTGACCTGGCTCTGTGCTCAAAAGGCAACTTTTTAATAATACTTTTTTTCCCATCATGTATTTGCATAAAATAAAATAATGTGCTAATAAGGCCAGGTGCAATGGCTCATGCTTGTCATCCCAGTGCTTTGGGAAGCTGAGACACAAGGATTGCTTGAGCCCAGGAGTTTGAGATCAGCCTGGACAACATAGTGAGACCCTTTCTCTTTTAAAAAAATTGTTTTTTTAAAAATAATGTACTAAGTAGTAAAACAAGTCTTAGACAAGTATTTATTGAACATATATTATTTACCAAATATCATTCTTGGCACAGTAAACAAATATTTGGTCAAAATGGCAGTTTTGTGTCACATTATAAATTAATAAATTGCCATTCTGGTTTTTAACAGTGCTCTCTTTGTGAGTTTGATTATCGTAAGTTACTTCTTGCAGAGGAGTGAAATGGAACAATGAAAACAATTGAATGTTGAGGATAGCTCTCCTGAATTTAGTGGCCACATCAAGGTACTGCTAGCTTCATTTTTAGAAAAAGGTTTGTAGTTGTTAAAGTTATGCAGCCCCATGGTTAAAAAAGTCAATTATCTTTACAGATTTGTTATTAAAAAAAAAATGCATCCCCATTTTTCCTTCCCTGGAGTCTTGCTCTGTCACCCAGGCTTGAGTGCGGTAGCATGATCTTGGCTCACTGCAATCTCTGCCTCCCAAGCTCAAGTGATCCTCCAACCTCAGCCTCCCAAGTAGCTGGGACTACAGGCATGCACCACCATACCTGTCTAATTTTTTGTATTTTTTTTGTAGAGATGGGATTTAGCCATGTTGCCCAGGCTGGTCTTGAATTCCTGAGCTCAAAGCGATCCATCCACCTTGGCCCCTCAAAGTGCTGGAATTAGGCATGAGACACCGTGCCTGGCCTGAGAGGCAGTTTAATACATCAATTTAATATAGTTTAGCAGATTATTGAAATATTTACTTATATGACTCTCAATCATATGCTTTGAGTGGCTACTTCTTCATTTTTCAGTTTTAATTATTTCTGTTGACATCCCACTATGGAAGATGAGATTTTAGCCTCCTTCCTCCCTCTGTCCCTGCCACATAACTACTATCCCCATCCACTGTCCTCCCAATAAAATTATAATCAATATTCAGTGTCTACATTACTACACTATGTCTATGCTATTCACAGTTGAGCCTCTAGTAAACTATGAATACTTTTCCTTTTTCTGACAGAATGCAATCTTCAATCATTTCTGACAAAGAGTGCCTGGGAAATAAATTGTTTCAGACTTGCATATCTGAAAATTTGTACTTATTCTACTTTTATACTTGATTGTGAGTTTAGCCGAGTATAATCCAGTTGGAAAATTTTTCAATCACAATTTTGAAGGAATTATTCTGTTGCCTTCCAACTTCTATTGTTATTGGTAATGTTAACTGTTAATGTCTAAAGCATTATGATTCCTAACCCTTCATGACCCCTTCTCTTCATGGAGAATTTGTAGGCTCTTCTTTCTTCCTAAGTGTTGAGAAATTTCACAATTATGTGCTGCAGTATGATCTATTTTCATCCATTAGGTTGGGCACTCAGGTGCTCTCTCAATTAGTAAACTCATGTCTTTTCATTCTGGGAATATTTTATTTTTTAGAAATAATTCCTTCTTCTCTGTATAATTTGTTCTATTCTCTCTTTCTGGAATTTCTGTTTTTCAAATTGGACCTTCTAGCCTAGTCCTCTAATTCTTCTTTTCCTATTCTATTTCCCATTTTTTTTCCCGGTTACTCAGATTTCTGGGAAATTTCCTCAACACTGTCTTCCCACACTTCTATTAAGGCTTTCAGGCCAGTTGCAGTGGCTCACGCCTGTAATCCCAGCACCTTGGGAGGCCAAGGTGGGTGGATCACTTGAGGTCAGGAGTTCAAGACCAGCCTGGACAACATGGTGAAACCCCATTTCTACTAAACATACAAAAATTAGCCAGGCATGGTGCTGCGTGCCTGTAATCCCAGCTACTTGGAAGACCGAGGCACAAAAATCACTTGAACTTGGGAGGCAGAGGCTGCACTGAGCTGAGATTGTGCCACTGCACTCTAGCCTGGGTGAAAGAGCAAGGCTCTGTCTTAAAAACAAAAAAAAAAGGTTGTTTGTTGTTTTTTGTAGAATTATGCTCTTGTTTTATAATTTCTTTTTTTTTTTTCTTTTTTTTTTGAGATGGAGTCTCGCTCTGTCGCCCAGGCTGGAGTGCAGGGGCCGGATCTCGGCTCACTGCAAGCTCCGCCTCCCGGGTTTACGCCATTCTCCTGCCTCAGCCTCCCGTTGTTTTATAATTTCAATATTATCCTTTATCTAAGGATACTAATGAGAGTTTTTGGAAGTCTTTTGCTATATAGTGTGTTTACTTTCTTCTACTTTTGTTTTGATTTCTGTCTTTAATGTTAAAGATTTTCCTCAACTGTTCAGAAATTCTTAGTAGTTAAATTCATTTCACCTGGAGGATATTTTTTGCTAGATTTAGAATTCTTGGTGGCTAGCTCTTTTCTTTCAGCATTTTAAAGATGTTGGTTCTGTTGTCGTCTTGCCTCCATGGATTCTGATGAGAAATCTGCTGTCATTTGAGTCACTGTTCTACCTGAATGTAATATGTTGTTTTTTTCTCTTGTTTCTTTCAATATTTTTTTTCATATATTTGTTTTCGGCAGTTTGATTATAATGTGTTCTGGGCATGGTTTTTGTTTGTTTTTTATTTAGGTCACTAAGCTTCTTTAAAAATTTGTGTCTTTTGCCAAATTTGGGACATTTCTAGTCGCTATTTTTTCAAAAATTTTTTCTGCACAAATCACTTTTTTCTTTCCCTCAGGAGTTCTAATGACATGAATGTCAGACCCTTTGATATTTTTCCATAGGACCCTGGGGTTATGTCTAATATTTGTAAAACATTTTTTCTCTCTATTCTTCATGTTGGATAATTTATATTTCTTCCTCTTCAATTTCACCAACTCCTCCATCAGCTTTGTTCTGTTATTGAATCCATGCTGTAAATTTTAAAATGTTAGATATTATATTTTTTGTTATGCAATTTTCATTTAAAAATAATTTCTATTTCTCTGTCAATAACTTCTATCTTTCCATTCATTTCAAGAGTGTTCACCTTTACCTTACAGAAGATGGTTGTAATTGCTACTTTAAAGTCTTTGTGTGATAGTTCCAATATTTGGATCATCTCAGAGCTGGCATCTGTTCATTGTTTTCTTCCCGAGAATTTTTTAAGTTTTTTTCTGCTTTTTGTAATGTTGAGCAATTTTAGATTATATCCTGAACATTTTGAATGTTATGTTGTGAGACTCTGATTCTGTTAAAATCCTCTGGAGAAGGTTGATTTTTGGTTTATTTGTATGTTTTGGTCAGTAATCAGCTTGGTTAGGTTCAGGCTGCAAGTTGCGTCTCACCTTCTGTGGGAGGTGGTTCTATTGTCAGTTCAGT